TTCACACAATTTAAAATGTACATGGAAGAACAAAATATTTTTAAATCTACAAAAAAATTATACGAAAATTTGAAGGATTTTAGATATTGGGTATGGTAGCACGAAATGTCACAATCTGCTTAATTGTCAGGTTGTTAATATGGCGACGAAAAAGTGACAATGGAACTACCTTGTTTTTTGTATCATGCCTTGGGAGATATGTAAGTGTCAATAATTCATGTGCACAACATGTACAACAAATAGTAGAAAAAACAAACAAGACATGTCGCTTCCTCAACATCATCAGTGGTTGTAAGTTCGGGATATCACCAAGCAGAGCCATCCATTTTATAAAGCCTTTGTTCGTGCTAAAATGGATTATGCCGCTTCCACATTTGCAAATATATCAAATTTAGCTTTACAAAAATTATCGACATGCTGCACAATATAACCAGTAAACAACATTCGGTGAATTTGGCGACTGCCTTCCTCGGGGATGAATATTGTGGCGAATACTGCGGCAACACAAAGCGAACAACGAGAAATAGGCAGAATGTTCGAAGAATGACGTAGAATGTTCCACAAAGAGAAACGTCAAGTTGGATGAACACTGCGAACAGCGAGAGAAAGAGAATGAGCGATAAACTTCAGAACGTTCTAGAGTTGCCATAAGTGTGAGCGCAGGTATAAGAGCCACGACACAGCGGATTAGGGACAGTTACGAGTTGCAAGTCAGCAAGCTACCAGTAAAGTTAGTTACAAGACAGAGCAAGCTACAAGTAAAGTGAGCGGAGAATTGAGTTGCGAATAAGCAAGCTATAAGTTTAATTGTGTTAACAAGTAGTAAAGCCTTGTTATTGCTTTAACAAGTATTGTAAAGTGTTTTTACTGTATTAGCAAGTATTGTAAATTGTTTGTTGTACAATAAAGTTAATTGTACTACAATTTGGTCATCGTTAGCATTTATTTAACAATCCAGCGATACGAGCCCGAGTATATTTGGGAAATCCCTCAAGGTTTCGAGGATAATCGTAACAATATGCTAAGGATGAAATTATTGGCCACACGCCTTCCAAGCACGCAGGGTTGCTTTTAAGAAACAAAAAATAATTAACTCCAAATAGTTTCAATAAGTATAGTGTAAAACGAAATTTATTGTATAATTCCACATAAAATGGTATACATAAATGACTCATTTTCTAAACGATTTAAATAAAACGCATTTCATAACCTTTTTTGTGCAAACGACATTTGCGAATTGAAAGACAACTATTACAGATTGTAAATTTTTGTTAACTATTAGGTAAATGAAAATTTTCAACCCGGCCTGACGGTTTTGAAGAATTTTTTTGTTCTAATTTTATTACTAAGGCGTCTAATAAATGCATGGCTTTTAGTTCTAAAAGAATAAAAGTCAGTAAAGACAAGTCTTTTTTGTGTAATTTCTGATTTTAATTGCTCAACTTCTTTTGCACCAGAGCAACTGTCAAAAATTGGGAAAAGTTTCCAAAACGGATCCAGGCTTTGAAAAAAAAAATATTAGGGAGTATAGAGGAGCTTTTTCAGATTCTAAATCTGAAGACCCCACCCTCCGGAGGCTTATAGTTTTAAAGTAATTCGCATTTAAAGTTGCAAAAAATACCTAATTTAACCTCACCTTTTGCTTTGTACACCAATTGAAGTGAGATGTCAGTGCTGCCATACATATGAAAAAATGTCTCAAAAACACAAAACGGAAGCAATAAAAATATTCAGATAATGATCGCGCGATATTTAATAAAAAAATTTAATTATTTATTGCTCGATTTTTGATTGAAAAGTTGCATAATTTATCGAAGTATTGATTTTATAATAAAAAGCGATGTTTTATTAAAAATGTTCATTATTCATCGAAGTATCGATTTTTAGAATATAAAGCGCCGCAGACGAAAATTTTTAATAAAAAATCGCGCGATAAAAATTTTCGATATATATGGAACTATATTAATATATGGTTACTGGGTGTTTTATATAAAATCGCGCGATCTGCATGCGAAAAAATAAGAAGAGAATAAAAGAAATACCGTTGGAATACGGTTGCCATAAAAATATGACGATTTTACGCACAACTCCGTTTTGTGTTGGCCGCGTTTTAATAAAATCCTTTAATGTGTAGTACATCTGATGTAACGCCGAACGAGTGGCAACCCCGATTTGGGTGGCAACCCCGGTCTCCTCAAAATGGTGATGGTCGAAAATGACAGTTCAACTGTTTCCGGTGTAATGAATGATGGATTATTTCGATTGGTGTGATTCTGTTCACATGTGACAGAAGTTAATCTTAAAATAAAGTTATCATCTGAGTCTGATTATAAATTCAGGTGTGAGGTTTATACTCCACGTGACCAGCGAAATCGACAATACTTATTATATTCGCGGAAAAGCCGACAATGACAGCTAGAATGACGCGAAACCAGATTATGGCTGCACTTGCAGATGCGGGAGTGGCTTTTGATAATGAAGCCACTTTGGTGCAACTCCGTGCGCTCTACGAAAGGGCACAACGCGGCAGCCTACCTCAGCAGCAACGCCCTGATGCTTTACAGCAGGCAGATGCACCACAGCAGCCAGATGAACCACAGCAGCCAGCAGTACCACAGCAGCGCCCGCAAATTTTTCAGCAGCCAGACGTCCAACAACAAGGGGATGCGATACAGGCACCAACAACTATGCGCTGCCAGCTTCTGGAGCAACCGCCTCCAGTGGGGTCGGAGCGCTCGTCGCCGTCTACGGTCCGTCAGCGGTTATCTGAAGCTGAGGAAGAAGAAGAGTTACTAAACCGACAGCTAGCCATTGCCCGGAAAAGGCGAGAGCTGCAAATATTGCAACAGGAGCTGGGCGTCAATGAGAAACGTTTAGACCTGGCCATTCTGGATGCTATGGTCGTCAAGTTCGATGGCTCGGAGCTACAAGACGTACGCAAGTGGACCGGTGACCTAGAGAACGTCTTCGAAGCGTACAATTATGCTGAACGCGACAAGCTAGTGGCAGCCCGCCACTTGATGACTGGACAAGCGAAGCGTTTTGCATCCATCATAACGGTGCGATCGTATGGGGAGCTTAAAGCGGCATTATTGCAGGAGTTCGAAAGGGCATTTTCTAGGCAGGATGTGTTTGCGCAATTGAAAGCACGCACGATGAAGTCAAACGAAACGCCCCGACAATACATTATCGAGATGCAGCTTATCGCTAGTCGCTCCAACATTCCAGAACTGGAATTAATCGATATAATAATCGATGGTCTCCAGGACAAGTCATCGCAGGTATCGATGCTTTACAGTGCCACCACTTTAGCCGAATTGAAGGTACTCATGGAACGATATGAGAAAAAGAAGCGAATCAGAACTCAGTTCGCTAATACAGCCACTGGCGGAAAACAAAAGGAAGGAGCAGCAGCTGGTAGCACCCAGGGCGGTGCAATTAAACAAGAAAATGTCCGCTGTTTTAATTGCTTCGCGTACGGGCATTTCCAAAGCGCCTGTACGGCACCCAGACGCCATCCAAATGCTTGCTTTGTGTGCAACGAAGTAGGGCACACTCGATTCGATTGCCCGAAAAAGAAGACCAGAGGAGTAGCGGCGGCCGTGACAGCAGTAGAAGCAACAGACGAAAATCTGGAAGATCGTCTAGTACGTAGAGTAGTGGAGCAACTTACTGCAAAAAATTGGGTGAGTGTTGCCTTTTATTTACAGGATAAGTGCACTGAACCAACCTATTGTTATGTTCTCTTTGATACCGGCAGTCCGGTTAGCTTTGTGCGGAAGTCCTGTGTGCCTTCTGGCTTTATTAATAAACAACAATCAACTATATACAGAGGCGTTGGAAATAAACGATTATTTACGTACGGAACGATTACGTGTAAAGTTTTATTTCGGGGAAGTGAAGTTAAACATAAGTTTTTAATTTTACCCGATGACCATGCAATAGTACCTTGGTTATTCGGACGAGACATTTTGAGCCGAATGGGCATTAATTTATTTAAAATGATTAATGTAAAGTATGACAAAAATGAATTACTTGATTTGCGCAATAAAATAGCAACGAATAAATATGTTAATGACATTTTCAGTGCACTTAACTTGTTTAAAATTTCAAAGGAATCGGATACAAATTTTGTAAGAGCTGCACCCAGCGAGGGAAATCTGCTTGATGAAAGTGGGGAAAAGCTGGCGTTGGTTGAGACCGACGAGGTGACAGAGGAGGAGTTAGACAGTGAGGGCGGGAGGAACGTTCCATTGAGACCATACGATATAAGTGATCAGTTGACAAGAGCAGATGCTGACGCAGTAGAAAGGGTAATTCTTAAACAATATACAGAAGTAGTGGAAGGTAAAATGTTGGAAAGTTACTTTATGAAGATTTCGGTGAAAAGTGACACTCCTGTGTATAGCGTTCCACGGAGACTGTCATTTAAAGAGAAAAAGGAAGTGCAAGAAATAATTGACAGTTTATTGTTGCAAGGGATTATAAGACCCAGTGAGTCCCCGTATGCGTCGCCGATAGTGCTAGTTAGGAAAAGGGATGGGAAGTTACGGATGTGTGTAGACTATAGAGAGCTAAATAAAATAACTATTAAAGATCGGTTCCCGTTACCCTTAATTGAAGACTGTCAAACGTACCTGGCAGGGAAAAGTTATTTTAGTACGTTGGACTTACGAAATGGGTACCATCAGATTCCGATGCATGTAGACTCAATACCGTTGACAGCTTTTGTGACACCGATGGGGCAATATGAGTACAACTTTGTGCCATTTGGGTTGACTAACGCCCCGGCTGTCTTCCAAAGACTGGTGAACCAAGTTCTGAAGCCGTTGATTAGCCGTGGGGAAGTGGTGGTCTACTTAGATGACATTCTAGTGGCCACAGGCACCATTAAGGAGCATAGTGAAGTGTTAGGGCGAGTGTTACGATTACTTGCGGAGGCAGGATTGAAACTGAACTTTGATAAATGCAAATTTGCGTATCAAGAGTTGGAGTATTTAGGTTATAGGGTCAGTTGTAAAGGAATCCGCCCCAGCAAAAGACAGGTAGAAGCCATCAAAACATATAGTGAACCACAGACGGCCAAACAAGTACAACGGTGCCTTGGGTTATTTTCCTATTTTAGGAGATTCGTACCAAATTTTTCGCGAATAGCTAAACCACTTAGTCGATTGCTGGGTAAAGATGTCCGATTCGAGTGGACAGCCCAGTGCAAGGACGCCTTTCAGACTCTAAAGAACCGACTGGCGGAGTCGCCCGTTCTGAGTATATTTGACCCGAATCGTGAGACTGAGCTACACACAGACGCCAGTGCGCATGGATATGGGGCCGTCTTGCTGCAGAAGCAGTCGGACCATAAGTTCCATCCAATAGCATATTTTTCAAGAAGCACCACAGATGCCGAGACGCGTTACCATAGCTTCGAACTAGAAACGTTGGCAATAGTTAGGGCTCTGGAGCGATTTAGAGTATTTGTCCATGGAATCCCGTTCACCATTGTGACAGACTGCAATTCATTGGTATTGGCTCTGAGTAAGAAACAGATCAATCCACGGATTGCTCGGTGGTCCCTAGCCTTGGCAGAATTTGATTTCAAGATTAAACATCGGTCAGGAGAGCAGATGGCACATGTGGACGCACTAAGCAGGTCAACGTGTGTAGGCACAGTGGAAGAAAGTGAAGTAGACGTTAACATTCAGATAGCTCAGATGAGAGACCCGGAAATTAAAGAGTTGAAAAAGAAGTTGGAAGTGGCTGAGGTGTCTGGATTTGACATGGAGAACGGACTGGTGTTCCATGTGGAGGATGGTAGACGACAACTCTACGTACCTAGGGAGATAGAAAATAATGTGATTCGACTAGTACATGAGACGTATGGTCATTTAGCGGTGGATAAATGTGTCGACCAGATAAAGAAACACTATTGGTTTCCGTGGTTGAGAAAAAAGGTTAAGAGTTTCCTAGCTAATTGTTTGAAGTGTATTTATTATTCAGGCCAGGCTAGAAGCAATGAAAGGTGTTTGTATAGTATTCGAAAGAAGCCCGAACCATGGGATACTCTACACATCGATCATTTTGGTCCTCTAGAAACGGTGAGGTCTAAGCGTCGGCATGTTCTGGTAGTCGTAGATTCATTTACCAAGTTCGTTAAATTATACGGTGTAAACACTAGTACAAAAGAGACCGTATGTGCGTTGCGCAAGTACTTTACCGATTACAGCCGGCCCCGAAGAATTATCAGTGATAGAGGGTCTTGTTTCACTTCTGTTGAGTTTAGGGAGTTTTGTAGGCAGCATCATATAGAACACGTTTTGAACGCTGTAGCGTCTCCGCAGTCAAATGGGCAGGTCGAGCGGGTAAATAGGGTCTTGAAGAGTATGTTGGCCAAACTCACTGATCCTATTGA